TTCCTACCTGAAACATTTTTTTCTCAAGGAATTTGGAATAGGAAAATGTATCCGAAATAGAACATGCCGCCCATTACAGAATATAAATTGCGTATAACTGTTATAAGGATTAACAGAGAAATGTTCAATTCAATTCTTATCAATACACATTTACATTACACTAAATATAGTTTGGCTAAACTTTTTTTAGACGAAACGTGCGTCTGGCGCGTACAAAATGCAATCCTGTTATCTATGATGAGTTTATTAACAACCACTGGGTCGATGGCACTGCTGGTGGAGTTTTTCTCCCAGAGGGTATTACCAGCCGAGTACTCAGCACTTCTGCGTCGACATGCATTATCATTGATATGGTCATAATTATAAATTAAATGTTTACAAAACACTAAATTTTTCGAAATACTAAGGATTTTCTACCCCAGGAATAGATCAGCTTAGCTGGATAAACTTTAAGGAATTTAGGGTCCTCAGTGGTCTTCAATTTCGTACTTTGTTTAACCTTTTTAATTTTTTCTAATCACTGATGAGTCTTTTTAGACGAAACGCGAGACTGGCGTACTAAATGTAATCCTGGTACCTATGATGAGTTTATTTACAAATCTCATGTACATGTAAAAAAAAAATGTTTAGATGAGATCAAATGTAATGTAAAAACAGTGTTCATCACATAAAAACTCATTGTAACGTCCTCAAGACATTTCGTCTATGTATCAAGATATGAGCCGTGTCATGCTAGCCTAATGAGTTCCTAAGAGATTCTTATATTTCAAAATAAAAAGAGAGATGTCATTTATCTGCATATGGGATGCAATATATTTGACACGTTTTGAAATTTTTGTTGATCATATATTTTTGTAAATGAACTCAATCAAATAGAGAAGAATATATAATAATAAAGATTTAACAGCACACATTTTGAGACTGAATAACGTAGTTGACTAAAATATTCATCAATGTGAAAAACATCACTTAATGGATCGATAGAACTAATAGATGATAGAAGACAGTTATATGTACTACAATATCATGTTAAATTCTTACTGAAGATAAACACTGCAAAAAGCAATACAGTCATGTATATTGCATCATCTTGAGACAGCAAACGTTAACAACAATCATGTTTACTTTTTTATTTACTTACATTTCTTAAAACATCAATTAACCTTGTAAGGATACGCAGTTCTTAACTCTGGACGAGAAACCAAAACGTTGCAATTTTTCACCTTTCACAAGGTCTACAAATAAACGGAATGATAATGTTGATTCAATATCATCATTTAAGCATGGTGCATTATATCTTCAAGATGCAAATATGATATACCGATAATGCATGTCTTGAGAAAAAAACAACTAAGTGTCAACATAATGATGTCATGTCTCAAGACATACATTGTTGTACGGCTAAACATTTAGGTTTGATTTTATGTTTGTTTGAATGACATCATGCGAGTTAATGTACAAGTACAAATATGTGATTTCGGAGTGTAATAATAATAAAGATACGGTAAAAATTATCATTTTTGCACAGAGACAATCTAAAAATTAGTCATATGAGTATGTGTTGTAGTTTTAATAATATTATCATCATCGTAATTCGTAATATCTAGAAAGGTCACAAAGTAAATGTTTGAACCAGTTTAATCTATTTTTCAAAACAATATCCCCCATTAAAATGCCAATATGATACACCGAATAATATTTTTTTTAGATAATTCAACTCAATATCTAAAGTAATTAGTTGCATGTCTCACGACATAGACATATAGTCGATGATGTTACCAATTTCGCCTATACACAAACACGCATTAATGATAAACTAGAATTAAACAGTTCTTACTTGTCACAAGACATAAAAAGTATCATGCAAGTCATAGCAGTTCAAAAAGAATTCTCGTATTTCAGAATAAATAAACGATTGTAATCTGTCTGCAGATTTGACGAAATATATTTGCCACGTTTTGAAATTTGGTTGAACATTTATTTGTGTACATGAAAACCGGTTAACGAGATTAAATGAATTGTATAGTAGAATGAACAAAAATTTAGATTCAACTGCACAGATTTACAGAATGAATGAAAGAGATGACTGCAAGTATAATATGTTAATTGGATTTATGAAACAAAGCTGGACCAATTATTTCAATATGTCTCTACTCTTGGAATTTGAAATATTCGTGTATAGGGTAGAAAATTCGAATATGTCTAAACTATTGGAAGATGAAAAGCCCTTAGATTGTAATCTAACGGATCTTTGGATTGTTTTGGTATCCATAACATAACTTACTACTGTCTGGATCGCCCAAACGAATTTGAATTAACCGAAAAATATGCAAAATCCTATTAATTATTTCATACCAACGTAACTGCGAACAAAAACGACCATGTTTAGACGAATTTAACGTTTATTAAAAGTCCTTGTTCATATAAGTCCTCACGTTTTAAGGGATTTTTTTTTAATTTTATTTTAAATATTTTGGTGAGGGTTTATTGTTAATTGTGAAGGTTATTCCAGAAAATTTCTTAGATCTTTAGATACAAGGAAAATTGTCTAATCCGAACATTTACTGGTTTGATCCTATTCCTATTGTGACATGTTGACTGAGCGCTTACCATGTCGACGCAGCCGGTCGCGCTGATTTGTAGTTCATGCAAATCTCTCATTTTTGTTCTTTTTATCTTTTACCTTGATTTGTCGTTTTGTTTTATTGATTCATGACAGTTGAATGCCTATCAACTACTGATCCTCTAATTTATTTTAATTTGAATTACAAACCATTTTAAAAAGAGATATAAAAATGGGTTAACTAAGTTAAATGGGTCGAAGTTCAATTAAACAACTTGTTGACGTTGGAAATGATATCAGTGCGAAAAGAAGATTGTTAAAAAAAAATTTTATCGCACATATTGGCATTAGGGCTTCAAACGTCTTACATATAGTGCAACATAGCAAACACTGCCAAAATAGATTCATTTTGAGATATTGTCTTTAATATAAAGATATTATCAAAAGATTTTCCAAGAAAATGATATTTTGCTACAAAATGTATTATCAAAAGATTTACACTTATTCACTTATCCATCAACCAAAGTTGTGCACGGATGGTCACCTATTTTGTTGAAACTTTCTGACAACAAACATTGATATAAAATATGAAAAACAAATGTTTATGCCACACTGTATGTTGTTTGGTTACCATGGCAACAGGGATTTAATTTCAGAAAAACCATGATTTTAGGGATTCTCTGCTAACAGTCACTTATATTACATATAAAGTGTTTGATTTTTTAAAATTGACAAATACTAGTTCAATAACTTTTATAAAATGTTTTCTCATATATAACACCAATTGTATCTTTCAACTAGGTTAACAATATGAATTTGGGCATATTTTTAAGCCATTATGTACTAACTTTCTTTATCATTTATGCAAAAACGCAGCCATTCCTGTATAAAGTAAATAATAACTTTTATTTTCATTGATTTATATTTTCTCATAAATGTAAAAACATGTTTGGGGCTAATGAGATTTCTTTTAAAAATAAGTAATGAACATGCATTAAATAAGCTTGAATTTTGCAAGAGTTGCTTCCCTTTTCTTAACTCTATAGATCGAATTAAAGTAAAAGACATTTGTTTGCATACACAACAATATGGAGACAGACGTCTGCTAACTCTGTTACAACATTTTGCTACTTTTTATTAATTTTTTATACACATTTTATCCAATTTTTTTATATATTTAGACATGTTCTATGATGGTATGTCAGTTTTTTTACAAAGCTGAACATGTACAATGTTCAGATGACCTTGAAAAGTTGACTATAACTTTGAAGTAATTGTTGCCATCTGTACAGAATGTGGTATTCTCCCGTCAACATCATGTAACTTTATAATATGTTCAAACCACTTTTCGTAATTTTTGGATATGAACATTAAAAAATAAAGAAAATTTTGTGAAGTTCCTTTTTTGATAAATTCACATGAACAGTGTGCTGTGAAGATAACATCAGACAGAGGATTAAAAATATCTAATGTGGAGACAATAAATGAATATTATGGTGTTGTCCTTCCAGTTAGGACATTTAAGGATATTTCTTATTAATTATGAATTTCAGCTATTCTTTATTAGTGCAAAGAAGTATTTCCTTTCTGTATTAGGGGAGCTGTCCCACTTCTTTGCATATTCTTTCTTATCCAAACCAAACTTAAATCCTTGGTCTAGATATAGGAAAGAAAGTGGTAAAAAGCATATTCTTGGGTGACATGCTGCCCAAATTTTTCAAATGTCTGGTCTCAGTAAATTTTCAACCCTTGCAATGACCAAAGTGGGTTATTCAAAAAGTTATCAGTTTCTTGAAAGGCTTGTATATTTTTTTCGCAAATCATACACCCCTATAAAAATAATTTCATAAGTCAGAACTTTAGATACATAGCAATTTTGAATCTTAAGTAAAAGATTGATAATTTAGAAATGAAGGTTTTAAACACACATGTATTGTGCTTCATTATTTTGTACATATAAAAGAACATTTGCATGTGAAAATGTTAGTGACTCTCTCCTTGGTCCCTTACTGTTACCCGAAATAAGGTTGATTTTCATCTCGCGTAACAGTGACTAAGCCCTCAAACCCCTAGCTGAAACCCCTACTGTTTACATAATAAAAGACAATGTTTGACATGGCTAAAGTGCCCTTATCATGATTGGCTCCCTGCCGTTTTGAAATCCTAGCTGGAACACTGTCTCCTTTTAATCATTGTTATGAAATGTGAAGTGGTATCATATTTTTTTTTTTAAAGATGGAGTAGATATGCGTAACTTTATACCTGTTACATTTCATAATATTAATATATTCTTATATGATTCCTTCTACAGAAGTATAAGAAAAATCAATATGCCTATACAATTGCAGGTATCTGCCGAGACTGCAGACAAAATGTTACTAGACAGCCATAACATTATAGCGAATACACATGAACAAAACCATAACAAAGGTATGTATTTGATTACTTGTTGGCATATATTATAAATTTGCAACACTTTTAAACATTGATAATGTGCTTATATTTGTAATATAACCAACAATTATTGATAATAATGTGGATTTTAAGCAAAATAGGAACTTTTGCAAATACCAAAATGGGAAGAGTTGACATCAACCAATAGATGAATTGAAATAGACTTTCAGGTGATATACTTTAGTACATAATGCTATTGTGAAAAACTGTCTACTTTTCTTCGACAATTATTGTTAACATGTATTTACAAAACAGTAAATTTTTAAGTGTGGAATTAAAACTGCTTGCCTTGACTAATTTCAATAAAGTATCAATTTTCAAAGTACCTCCTGTTCCTAGTCAGGAGCCTGTAAGTCAGTGATTGTAGTTTGTTGCTGCATATAATATTTGTTTTTCGTTCATTATTTTGTACATAAATCAGGCCGATAGTTTTATTGTTTAAATTGTTTTACATTTGTCATTTCGGGGCCTTTAATACATGTAGCTGACTATGCAATATTGGTTTTATTCATTGTTGAAGGCTGTACGGTGACCTATAGTTGTTAAAATAGCAAACTTTTAAAACAAAAATCATATGATAAAAAAAGTCGTAATTATTGATTAGGGACGTTTTTTGTTATATCTGAATAATTTTTACATGAATAAGGAATGTATCGGAGGAAATCGTGTATTGCATATTTTATAGAAATAAGAAGGTGTGGTATGAGTGCCAATGAAACAACTCTCCATCCAAGTCACAATATGTAAAAAGTTAACACTTATAGGTCAAACCTATCGACAAGTAGTATGTATTCCTATAGGCACTAACTGTGCCCCTTTAATAGCAAATTTATTCCTGTATTGCTATGAATCTCAGTTTATGACCAAACTCAGTTAAGACACGCCATTGTTACATTTTGTTGATACATTCAACAATACCTTCCGTTATCTGGATGATATTTTTTCTTTAAATAATCCAGAGTTCTCTAAATATACTACTGAAATTTACCCAAAAGAACTTACTTTAACTAAATCTAACATAAACAGCAGTAGTTGTCCTTTTCTAGATTTAGACATTTCAATTTCTAAAGGGAAACTCTATACTAAAATTTACGACAAAAGAGACGACTTTTCATTCCCTATTGTTAATTTTCCTTTTTTAGACGGCGATGTTCCTTTGGCTCCATCATACGGTGTTTATATATCACAACTCGTTCGTTATGCCCGTGTGTGTAGTGATGTCATAGATTTTAACGAACGTAATCAATGCACCACTGGTAAATTATTAGGTCAGTGATTTCGTTACCATGAATTACGTAAAACTTTTACTAAATTCTTTCATAGATACAAAGATTTGATTAGTAAATTTGGCTGTACCTGTAGAAAACTGATTAAAACGGTATTTCACATCCTAAATTTTACGGTAATATTGTACTTAAAGCGCGGAAATCACAATGTGATCCGTGTAAACTCAATGAACCTTTATTATTAGTAAAGGTTATCTTACCAATGTTATAATTAGATCTTTGAATATAGTTTACATTGGCACTAATATCGATTTTGTCATCAGCAAATTAAAACATAACTAAATTTGTATTCTTTTCAAAAGGAACGTATGACACACCCACGTTCATTTTGATCTATAAAGAGGTTAACTCCTAACTATCCTACTGCCTGTCGATACATTTATTTTTGGCATTGCACAAGTCATGTCTTCTTTGACTGTCCATGAAGTTAAAATACTAAATCCCTGGGATGTGTTTTAAGTTGATTTAAGTCTCTGATGCATGATATTTTTATTATCAATTGTTTTTGGCTTATAACTAGCTGTCAGTAACTGCGAGTACTCTCAAATCGTACTTCCTTTTTTTTTTTACCTGTTGATACTAATTGGAATGCTTTTTTGTATTTGATATTTACTTATTCAGGGTTATATCTGGTCTATATACCAGCTTTGATAAGTGTTTGGTATTACTATAAATTTTCACTTCTTCGTATTATGAACATCAAAATTATTTATTTTGTAAAAATATTTCCTTTATCCATTTGAACTGTACACGTATACCTAACAACAAGATTATTTTCCAATACCTGTGTTTAAAGTAATTGCAAATGGCTGATATTTTTGTTCAAGCTTATTGTTTTTCTTAAATTGCTTAACATTTCACAGCGGTATAACATGTTACTTTAATTATTCTTCCCTTAATTTATTTATTTTGTATTTACATTGTATCATATAGATCAAATTTATTTGTTCAGTGTATGTTCACTGGTGATAATATGTCTTTTGATTGAGTTAAGCCATTTCAATTGATATTTTATAGTGTGTCTTTCTATGTTGTGATGTTACACTATTGTTTCAGATAAGGGTGAAGGTTTGGTACCATTAAAACGTTTAAACCCGCTGCAATTGTTTGCACCTGTCGTAAGTCAGGAATCTGATGTTCAGTAGTTGTCGTTTGTTGATGTGGTTCATAAGTGTTTCTCGTTTTTTATATAGATTAGACCGTTGGTTTTCTCGTTTGAATGATTTTACACTAGTAATTTTTGGAGCCCTCTATAGCTTGCGGTTTGGTGTGAACCAAGGCTCCGTCTTGAAGACCGTACTTTGACCTATAATGGTTTCCTTTTATAAATTTTGACTTGGATGGAGAGTTGTCTCATTGGCACTCTTACCACATCTTCTTATATCTATATACAAAGAACGGCCGTTAGTTTATATTCAATGCTGTTTTGAATTCGTCTGATCACTTTTTATTTCGTCGGATATATTGTTCGAAGAGAAAACTGAACAAACTACCTAACTGCTTATGTCATTAGCATTATGAAAAAGATTCAAATGAATATTCTACAATATACATGCATATATACCTGAAACTGATTCATTTATACATGAATATATACTTGAAACTGATTCAATTTGCATTATAACATGTACACAAATAAAAAATAACTGATGAGTTACTCATACGTCAGATAGTTCCCAACGTTTTGACAATTTATTGAAAAAAACTATGTTTCAATCTTGAAACAAAAGTTATTTCCATGTAGGTAGTTCATAAGGGACAAGAACAATTTCATTGTACAGGTAAAGTTTGATTCAGGATGTTATTTAAACACTTGATTAATCATTAGATATAATCATTGCATCACTTTAGGTAACTAATTAAAGTGGCCACCAGCCCCTGGTTTATGACCGTAATATATAGCCAACATCCCATGTTTTATGACCCACAATAAACGGTCACCATTTGATTGTAACTATACCAGATGGTTGACATTTATCAGAGTTTGTCACGGATTTTACTGTTCTACATTTAAGGTTACACGATACCGAATGACGTTACGCCACGAGTTATCGTTCCTGCTGTTGTCGACATCCATGAAATTGACGGCAAACGTAAAATCTGATATTTTATAATAACTTAGAACGAATTAAATAAACAATTTGCCTCAGTCCGGTATAAAATAGTTGAAAGATAAATGTTTCTTTATTTCAAATTTGCAGATATATATGATTATATATTAAAAATACCTTCATTTAAGCGTCGCTTTCTATACGTATCACATTCAATCACAAAACAAAAACTTTACATAGATGCGATTCAAATGAAAGAACAAAAATGAGAAAACAAAACAAATCACACTTATGTGAAATTTAAATAAAAAACAAATACTTATAAATAATCTTTGTATTACATGATCGTGCAAATAGTTCGCCATATTTTAAAACTGTCACAATTCATAATATCCTAAATACGGACATTTTATATCATTTATAACCATATCAGACTTAGGAAATAAAACTGCAAATTTTATGGGATATGTATGCTTTAAATTGTGACGTACAATGCTTATCCCGTTAGACGTTTCAGTTTTGCCTGCATTTGAACATAGCGGAGAAGCGGCGCATGCATTCTAAAAAGGGCAAGTTCACTTGGAAAAAAAGAAAAGTAGATGATGACATTTCAGTAAAAACAAGTATTTTGGAAAAGCAAACTGTTTTAGACTTTATTTTGTGGAATGAGGGCAGAAGAATTGTAGAGCTTGGGTATTTAGCGGATCAGTTTTCTTGTTGTGAAAAATGTAAAAAGTCACCACTCAGCCTGTTGGACTGTCTTGCAGAAGTTCGATACGGATTCGGTAGCGTATTGAAGATAAAATGTCAGCAGTGTAAATCCGTCAATTGTGTTTACACGAGAAAACAATACAGAGATGAAAATAAAGAAAACAAAGGGTTTGGAATATGGGATATTAATACCAAAAGTCACAGTCATGCATGTAAATACTTTTTTTCATACATATTTCCTTGATTTCGTCCGTGCATGAACTCGGTGAAGTAATAATAGATCATACCCTGTATATAGCGATTAGAAAACCGCGGAGAAACATGTATCCGCGGTGATAAATGTCTATTTTTCATCATTCACCGAAATGAAACCGCGCGGATATATTTTTTTTATCCGCAGCTTTCTTACCAATGTTATAAAAATGTTGCCGCGGTGACACGTTGTTCCATTGGTTTTCAAATCGCTATAAATGCAGGGTGTGTAAATTGATACAACTAATTAAAAAATACGCCTCATATAGAAAGCATGTACTTCAACATACCTCGATAATTGGTCCTCACGAAAATTAATTTACTTCTCCATTTTATAATGATATGAATCCATTGTAGTGTGATAAATGATGTTTTAAATCATATCAAAACTTTATTTTTTTTCAATTCAAAATTAATCTTTTTTTAAAGAAAATTATTGTTTGTTGACATTTTTTCATCCGCACTAAGCGGACCTAAAAACCGGTCTAAACCAAACGACGTGAACTTAGCGTACCGGGTGGTGAATACCAATAATTGTAATTACGGGCAGTTCTATTATATTTGCAATATATTCAATAACACTTATTATTTGTTTCTTCTCAACCATGAACGTCCCTTCAATAACTGTAAAAACTCTCAAAAAACGAGAGAGAGAAATCGGATTGACCATAGAGGCTGCTGACACATGTAAACAAGGAATCGATGAGAAAATACAAATAACAAGGTAATCATGTATATATATATATATATTTAGACCCCTGTAACAATAAATTTGTTTTCCATGCACACGTATACAAATTGCGGTTTTTATCCAACGCAATCATAGGTTTGAACGTTGTTTTCAATTTTGACTTGTTTATATTTTTTCGTTTGGGCTTGTATTATATTTTCCTTCGGGTTTATATGATCCGTTCATCCTATTTCGACTCTTCAAAGTTCAAGAGTCTATCCTAAATTGAGGTAAATTAAATGGCCTTCCCAATACCGTTTCGATTCCTAACATCACTGAAGAGACATTAATTGTCGAAATCCGGATATGGTGTACTAATTTTTGCACCTTTTGTTTGCGGTATGCCATCTTTTCTGCAAGTTTATTGTTTTCTGTTTGGTATTAAATTAATAAATAAGATCCATTTTGTTACATCTGGTGATCCGTTTATTTGGCAATCGCCAATGGCAGTCAGCAGGGTTTAATAACATCCGTTGTTCGACCTGCTGGTCAAATGCGTTTTGTTAAAATATACTTTTTCACTTTTTTGGTGTTTTGGAAAATGTTGTATGTGCTGTATTTAGACCCCTCTAACAAGAAATTTGTTTTGCATGCACACGTATAAAAATTGCGGTTTTTATCCAACGCAATCATAGGTTTTAACGTTGTTTTCAATTTAAACTTGTTTATATGTATATATATATGTGTAAATATAATGCACGAAAAAGGAGTTTTTATAAGCACATTTAATATGTATAGAACTTTACATGTATCTACACCTCCAAATGTTAATATTCAAACTAGGACATATAAGTTTTACAAAAAGCTCCAAACATCATATGATTCATAAAAACCCGTACCCGATTGAATTACCGTTTTCTATATATCATATTATTCAAATTGAACATTTATAATCAGGTATTTTTAGTGATAAAAATCCAATAATTGCTGTATTTCAATTATAGAATGTCAACAAAAAAGATAAACCTTCCTTCAGATATAGAGCACTGTACAAGTACATGTACCATGGAAAACTCCACTGACAATGATGTGGACATTGAAAGTTTACTTTCTGTCTCGTTTGATGGCGCTTTGCAGAAAAAGGGGAGTGGAAAATGTTATAATAGTTAAACTGGTAAGATATTGAATTTTTTGTCGGAAGTCTTCTGGGCTTGTATCGGCGCAGAAATGAAATAAGATTTGTGTTGCAGCTCCATAATAATGAGTTACTGTGTAGGTGAAAACTATTTGATATTTAGTCTGTAGCTCCATAATGATAAATTGCACTATAATGTAAGTGACTTTTTGAGTCTGTTGTGCAACTTCTTCCTGTTAACTGATACTTTGATGGTCATTTACTTTTCAGGGCATGCTACGATGATTGGATAAACAACTGGTAAATGTTTAGACTTTGGGGTTTAATCAACAGATTGTAGAAAGTGCCTTTTTACAGATAAACAATCAGACCATGACTGTCGGATAAAACTATGCAGGAAGTGCACGATCTATGGAATCGGCAATAGCAGCAAATTTAGTTTCTAATTTAATGGAAATGGGTTACAGAGTGAAATCAATAACCGTGGATGAGGATTAAACTACTATATCACGACTTCATAAGTCAGTTATTCCAAATATATTCAGTCTGACAAAAATCACATCAAGAAAAACGTTTCAAACTCGCTTTATGAAATAAAAAAGGATACAAGGAGTTAAGCACGAGTGTAATCAGTTACGTTGTCAGGTTTGCATTCCAGGAGATCAGCTGCGAGATGACTTACTGAAGCTGTTCCAACGATTTGCAGATTTGTCAGATAGGCTGATACACATTGGTACATCTCAAGCAAATTAGTCGCTGAATCATATAATTGTAACAAAAGCACCTAAAGCCAAGCATTTAGGCGGATCAGAGTCCCTGAATTACAGAGAAGCTGTCGGTGTTGCACAACTGAATGGTGGATGAAATGTGTAGTTGACGTAAGTTCTCTAATTTATGTTTCATAATGTTTTGCGAGTTTTTTTATGAGACCGTTGGATGGGACGTGAAGAGGAGACTCAATATACAAACAATACCAATGTTATATCAATATTGTGAATTGGGTAATGCTGTGCACGTGTTTTAAGGAGTAACCTCTCATCAGCAATTAAAGGGAATGTCACAATCTAGGCATGTAAAAGATTCCGTTCGAGTGGTCCGTAGGTGACTAATTGAAAAGCTACTTCTTTCGAAAAACCTATGCAAAAAACTTTATTCCATGGTTTGATAAACTTGTTCTTGTCATTATTATGCATGAGACATCAGCGCCGGTACGTGAAGCAACGAACAATCAATCAATCAATCAATCTTTTTTTCTGTAAGTTAGAATAAATATATTTTTTGTAGATTTTATAGATTAAACATTGGATATTCACCGAAGTAAATACATGATATTATAGAAGTGCAAAATAGCGTTTAATTGTTATATATTATGTAATTTTATCATCATCTAATTTTTATTCAAATAAGCTTATAAATATTACTTTTTATTTTATGAAGGTAACGAAAATCATGGACTTTTACCTTGAAAAGTAACTGTTACAAAAAGCATAAAACTAGACGAGAAAGCTAAAAGAGATGGAGAAAAGAAGAAGTTACCGGCTGTTAAAAGGAAGAAAAAAAGTAAAAAGTCCGATAGTTTTCTTAATACTTTTACCAAGGAGACTAACGAAGGCACAACTTACCAATCCTAGATTACCATGGGACGAGATGGAGATCATAAAGACATCGAAACAATCCCAGATCCAAGTGATTTAGAACAATTACCAACAAGAGTAGACATTGATAGTAACGAAGAACTTTGTGTTGTCGTTTTCGACATTGAAACCACCGGATTTGGTAAGTTGAAAACATTCACACGACAAATTCTAATTATTTGAATAACTAAACTGAAAAAGGACATCGGACCTGAAAATTTGAAGTTATTGGAAACATTTAAGAATTGATTGCATTCTTTTGAAGTTTCATAAGGGTATAAAAGCCTTGGCTGAAGCACATTTTTCACTTTATTGTATTTCAACGTGTCAATAAAAAACTACTGGTTATTTAGGGCGTGGCTTGGTTAACTGTTGATGTCACGTATATTTGTTAGGCCAATATGTATGCCTGTTGGTTTGATTAAATAAAGCCTTTTTATAGATAAGATGTTATTGGAAAATCAACAGGCGACCAGTCATGCACTTATGAGCCCATATCAATTAATGTAAATAGCTGTATTCTTTTGTGATAAATTTCATTTGCAAATCACTAATTTCTGGTTCATCAAATGGTAGATTCAACTTACCATTACTATCGTTATCTTAAAAAGATTTATGAAAGAAAACAAAAAAAATCATTCGTTATAACAATCAACATAATTATGATCAATAATAATAAATGCAAAAAATGGAATTCAGTAAAGTGAGATGCACCTGTTACTTATAGAAATAAAATGTTTTATTGTTAACTTTATATGTATTCAATACAGGATATGGTTCCGAGATAGTTCAATTGTCAGCAGTTTGTAACAAAATAGAGTTTGATCAGTACATTATTCCGACAAAACTTATTCATCCAAAAGCTACCGAAGTCATCCATCTTTTTAGTACAGGGACGCGTCTTTATTATAAAGGTCATCAATTTGTAACAGAACCGAAGGAGAATGTTTAAATAGTTGTGTTGAATGGCTTCAGAAAAACTCATTACTGGTTGCACAATATTGTAAACAATTCGATGCAAAAATACTTGTTTCCCAGATGCAGCCTTTAAATTCAAGTATTTTACAAAATCTCAAAGATCATATACAGGGAGAGCTCACTTGCAAATGACATTCTAAAGACAACATATAATGCACACAATGCCCTTGATGATGTTAAACTGTTAAAGGAGATGATTGAGGTTGAAATTGAAAATGAACAACTTCTTGAGAATAGTTTCGTTTAACATGATATATAACGACAATTGAAGATGTTTCATGCAAAGAAGCATTTAATTGTCTCCTATAATGGAGTTATCAGAGAAAAGATTATGTCAAAAGCACTATGTGATAGAGCAGCCGGAAGTGGACTTAGCTTCGAATATATCAAGTCTTCTTTTAGCAGAGCTGGACAAGACGGCTTTCGGAGTATTTTGCTGAGCGGACTTCAAATAGGAAACCACGGATTAGTAATCAGAAGAAAATTATAAATTGTGTTCGCCAGTATTTATCGAATTGACCATGTCAATTAAATTTAATTTTTATACATAATTGCGTGTTATTTTCTTGATACCTTTATGTTCCTTGAATTACAAGAAATGATAGACAACTGAAATGGGTCAATGTAAAACAACGTTATATTCTGAATTTCGTAACGTAACATGTTTTTGTCAAATTCTAAGAGTATCGGTCAACTTTGAAGCGATTCATCTAAAAAAAACAAGGATAATGACATATTTTTGTTTATACATGTATGGATTTGGTATACAATCCTGGGTTTTAAATTCGTTTTTGGTGCTTCCTCGCTTATTAGTACATATCCATCCATAAAAAATAGGAAAATAAAAGTAAAAGAACTGGTATTTTCCCTATATATCTATGTAAATTTGGCGCCAAAATTGACCTTTACTAGTCAGAATTACAAAAAGACAAAAATGGTGACCCCCATTTTTTTTATTAAATATTCCGATGAATATAGACCCAAAGTACGAGTGTGCAAAATATTTTAGAAATCGCGATATATGCCATTCTGTATCATGTAACTTAAATTTCAAACACAACTACGGTAAACCAATAGTGCATGTCTTTAGACACCAACTAAGTATCATTATATTTCTTTCGTGTCTCAAGATATATTTTTGTGGGGCTGAACATTTAGGAATTATTTTCGTGTTTCAGAATAAATATGAAGAAGTAAATGATCAATAGTTTGTCAATGGTTTTGTTTAATGTAACAATATTATACGAAAATAAAAGTTCACAACCATATTTACAATAATATTAGGTTCATGTCTTCAGACATTGCAAATTATGTTCACCACGATTTGAAACATTTGGTTTAACTTTCATTTGATTGTTCTTACAAATTTATTTAACGTGCAAGAACATATATGTGGATACGCAAAATCAATAAATCGGAGTGAGATAATAATTAATATAGTGTACACTGGAGACGTCACCTTTTGTTAACGCCACATTTCAATTTAATTGTTTAAGTTCATTCGAAAAACAGTTTGATCTAGTTTGAAAAAAAATATCCATCATATATATACACGTCCAATATGATACCTGGAATACAAATATGTTTACAATTCAACTATTTATCTTTAAGTACTTATTGTATGTCTAAAACATTGTTAGACTGCAGATATATATGTAAAGTCAACGGTGTACAAAAACGAATATATGTTGAATTCCAGGTAAACGTCTTTCGACATTTTGTTCATGTTTCACGACATGAGCAGTACCACTTAAGTCTACGCAATTTAGAAGGGATTCTCGTATTTTAGAATGATAGAATCAGGTCATCTTTTTTATAGGTTACAACTTTTTACCTTGGTATGTAAATTTTGTATCATATTTTACTTATACTACATATATATTGCTTTCATCTTGAAGTTCCAAGGAATCTGAGCATAATCCGGGAACGAATGACAGAAACAACAGGAACACATGTTCAGAATTATACACACAATGTCCTAATTTGAGGAATAAAAAGGTTCGCAGATTGCTACGTTTTGCAACGATCAGGTCTTGTTTGACCAGCGCAGTCCAGGTAAATCCAAAAAGGAAAAGTCCATAAAACCTTATTTAACCAAGTAGTTGACTAATACAGCCAACGGAACAAAAGGAAAACAACTATCATATTTCTGACTTTGGTACATGCACTGTCTAAAGAAAATGGTGGGGTAAACCTGGTTTTATATTTTTTAAAGCTTGTGTAATAAATCAGTCATTTTGCTAACCCTGGAGGGATAGTAGAATATAATAAAACAGCAAGGACTAATGAAGTATGGCTGCTTTAATCTACGGTGGCAAGCTTTCTTCTTTATATTCAAAATACTAAACATGTACTAAAAACCAATATTTTTATATCTTTAAATGGTTTCTATCATAAAAAGGTTGCCAGCATAAATCACTGACAATACTTTTTTTCAAAAATGAGAATTATATGTTGATATCAAACATTAGTAAAGTTTGCTACTCAGGATAGATTGTTTAATATAAATGACAGCAATATTGATACAGAATGACGAATGGCTACTCCATTTTGTCAGCTATAATTTAGAGAGCCAGCATTTCACTTATATATTAAAAAAACTAAAGCTTCATTAGAAAATAAAAGTTTTGATGTCCTAGAATTTTATATAAGAAAGTGTTTGCATGTATTAATCAACACTGTTTCTCTTGCTTAAAAAAAAAGACAAAAGGACGGCAATATTGGTACACAATGAATGAAAAATATTGTTGGCTTTAATTTTGAGTTCAATCAGAATTCATTTAATACCTTCCCCTTTTGTAATCGAAGTACTGCAAATTCTGCAAAGAACCCCAACACATCAATTGGAACCATAACTGCAAAATAATTAAGGATTCCATTAAGTACTACGCCAGAGCATAGGCTAAACGAGAAGAAGTTGAACTGGACACTTTGTCAGAATGGGTCAAAACAATCAGGTCTCTGATAAAACGTCGAATTCATAAGATTGAAAACTGTGTGAATGATCGACCAAAGTCCTTTTTCAAAGACAAAGAAGCTGTGAAATGTCTATCATCTCTTCATGATCAATGTGTTGTTACTCCTGCGGATAAAGTGATATTGTCTTTGTATGTAAATCGTACTACTACGAGTGTCTTGTAAAAGAATTAGGTATAGGTGAGCACTTAGGTATTCCCACATACAAAAACATATCATTTGCCAAGGATGAGATTTTGGCAAATCATAAGTCCTTCATGGTTTCTATGAACATTACATTGAACAGCAAATCTGAGGACTTACCTTGTTTGTATTGGATACCTAAGCTTCACAAAATTCCGTACAAACAACGGTACATTGCCAGCTCATCTGCATGTTCTATAAAGGAATTGTCCATTAGATTGACATAAATTCTGTCCGCAGTGAAAGAGGGTCTCCAGAAATACTGTGAAACTGTTAACTCGCGTTGTGTCATTAACCATATGTGGATTCTAAAAAAACTTTAGAGAGCTTCTGGATGGCTTTTAATCTCGATCTTTCTCTGAGGTTAATTCTTTCAAAACTTTTAATTTTTCGGCCCTGTGCCACCATTCCCCATGTGGGATTGAAAAATCGTCTAAAAGAAATAATACACAATGTTTTTCAATATAAAAATAGTAGCATACGCTATAGATTTATTACTTTGGAATGCCATGCGGCATGTTTTGTTAATAGTGAACAAAAAGGTAAAACATGCTACACAGAGGAACTAGTGATCAGTATGCTGGAGTTTCTTATTGACAACATATTTGTTGAATTTGGAGAAAGACTTTTTCAACAAATTGTCGGCATTCCTATGGGAACGAACTGTGCGCCTCTCCTTGAAGACCCCTTCTCAGTCGGAGTTCCTTCAGACACTTGTCAAAAACAAGAAGATAAAAAAGCCAGATCATTTAATTTCACATTCAGATATATTAATGATATTCTCTAACTTCAATCCAAACTTTTCTGATTGGGTTCCATCAATATATTCTCCAGAACTAGATATTAAAGAAACAACAGTCACGGTTTCCTCCGCCTCATTTTTAGACTTTTACCTGGAATTTGACATAAGCGGTCATTTCAGTACCAGAATCTACGACAAACGAGACGATTTTAATTTTAAAATTATCAATTCCCCCCACCTTAGTAGCAATATACCAACTTCACCTCCATATGGGATAAACATTTCCCAACTCATTCGGTATTCAAGAGCTTGCAGCTGCTACTCAGACTTTATAAAACGCCACCAGTGTCTGAGCAGAAAGTTGATGAACCAGGGTTATGTCAAAGAACATCTCGTCCTTTTTATAAAGAATCATCGGAAGATACCAAGACCTTGTTGATAAATATTCCGTATCAACTTCACAAATAATACATGATGGTCTTGAAGTATAGATTCTAGGTACTGACGTTGTTTGTCATCTCAATAACGTGTTATAGGGCTCTTATTTGTCTTTGTAAATTATTTACCTTTACTGTTTAGTCCATTTTTGGTAATATCTTTTTGCGTGGCTCGGTACTTATACATCCCGCCATTGTGTTATTGTGCTATTGTCATTTTTTGTATTCTTGTCTTTTATTATTGTTGATCCATTTGATAAGGGACTTTCCGTTTTGAATTTTCCTGAGTTCGATGATTTTGCTATTCTGCCTTTAATAAAAAATCAGTGGTTTTGACCTCCAAATTGTAATTCACAATCTCTCAAAGGAGAAGGTCCGATAAGGGCTTATTTCGGCCTAAAATTCGAAGTACATCTGATAAAAGATTTTTTACATTTTTTTAAACACTCAAGTGTCTACTTTAGTCGATTCATTTAGTTTATGTTAAAGATTTTAACTGATTTGGTCATCATATTCTGATATTAAAAATCTATCAAATATGCCATAAAACGTCACTTTTCAGATGGTTTTTGTTTAAAATGGAAGTGGCCACATTCGTGTTCAGTCTCAACATTTATATATGTTATGTATTATCATTGAATACAACATATATTTAGATATTAAGACTGAACACAAATGCGGCCACTTCCATTTTAGACAAAAAACCGTCTTAAAATTAGCACAAATGCTAAGATTGTGAAGATTTCAGTATATTTGCATGACAAAAATGATGCTAGTACCTGATGCATGTCCATTGATTTGTCAAAAACAGTCCATATTCATGTAACAAAAGTATTCTACTTTCCAATAAATAGAAAAAAGTGACTTTTTTTACTACTTTGTAAAAACACTATATTTTTGGGCCAAAAAGGGGTCTTACCGGGCCTACTCCTTTGTAATAGTACAATAAATTTTGATTTTTCCTACAGTCTTCACTACTATTTTTCATGCTCATTTGAAAGATTGGCTTCACTATTTTATTTAATATTTGTTTTTCTACTAAAAGACTATCGCAGATACAAATTCCATTGTTTTGGAGCATATCGATATAATTGTGTAAAGAAGCTCACAGATTTCAACATCAAATACATTTTTGTTTTACTTTTTTTGTCAACAACAAATTTGTTGAGTTTGGATGAATATTTTTTCAACAGAAATTTAGTATTACGAAGGT